TGACCATTTTATCTTTATGTTCCCCACCAGTTTATCCAGCACTAACATTAGGCTAACTGGCCTATAATTTCCTAGAACCACCACCACCACCACCCATCTCCCTCTTTAAAAACTGGACACTCTTCAGTCCTCTGGAGCTGATCTTAGGAACACTGTATATGTTTTAGTAAGAAGTTCAGTTTTACATTTTAAATCTTTAATACTTCTGAGAGGAATACATTTATTATTTGTAATTAGCAGAGCTTGGAAATGTTAATTGTTTTGGACCACAGTTCCCAGAATCTCCCAGCCAACATGGTAATTAGTCAATAGAAATTCCTCTTTTGCTACCATTATTTGCCTCAATTCATAATTTCCCCTACCCTAAAAACTTCAGTCTAGACAAAGATATCTGCCCTATATCTTTAGCAGTGAAGATATGAAAATAATTAATTCAGTTTCTCTGCACTCACACTAGCCTTTTATCACACTATCCTCCTCCAAAATTCCTTCAGATCCATTATCATCCAGAAGTCCTACTGCCCTCTAGTTGTCTTCTTGCTCTTAATATGTATCTTAAGAATTCTTTAGTCATTGTCTTTGATGCTCGTAATAATATGCTCCATAAAATCCTTTTCTGCATCCCTAAATATATGTTTGAGTTTTCTTTATGTAAGTATATATTCATTTATGTTTTCCTCATTTGGACATGATTTCTAATTTTTAAATTAATTTTTTCCCCCTGATAGCTTGCTTGCGCTACACTGCTTGGTAAACATGGTGGTGACCTCCTAAACTTTGTACTAGTTTTTCTGACCTGTAGTCTATATTTTAGCTGAATCTCTACTACAGTGGTGTTGCATAGCCTTCAAGCATTTGGGGGAAATTTGATCCTCTTGTCTTTTCCTTTTAACTTCCTTTTTACCAGTCCACTCATTTTATTTATTTATTTATTTGTCCACTCAATTCTCCAACACTTTTCCACTTACACAGAAATTAAATCTGATACCACTGTTTCCAGCTGGTTCAGCCACACTCATATCTTGTTCTGCTTGGGATGGCAGCACCATTTAAGATTAGATCTGTCCATACTTCCTTTCTGGTTTGTTCTGTGAATAGCTGTTCTAGGCAAAAGTAATTTAGGACATTTAGAATTTTTACCCTTTCCTTGTAACTAGAATATGTATTTATCTATTCTATATCCAGTCAAAGCAATCCATTATTACCACACTATCTCCATGGGATGCTACCCTAATTTCATTGTTCATCTCAAAATCAGTCTGCATATTTTGGCTAAGAATTGCCATCTGTAGTGATTCTTTGGA